TCAATGAAGCAGAAGTAGATGTTTTTCTGGAACTCTCTGGCTTTCTCCATAATGTAGCGCATGTTAGCAATTTGGTCTCTAAGGGTTAGCCCTGGGTCAAGTCAAAGAACATTTGGTCACTATTACTATTATTATTACTCCTCCTCTTCCTTCTCCTTCTCCTGTCCTTTTCGTTTCACGTTATATATCATAGCTTTCTGCTTTTTCTGTGGTTTATGGTGTTGTTCTATGCTGTCAAGTCACCTCTGACATGTGAAAAAAACCCATGAATGACTGTTGTTCTGTGCTGTCAAGTTGCCTCTGACATGTGATAAAAACCCATGAATGACCGCTCTCCAAAAGGGTCCCCTCCTCAACTGCCCGGCTCAGCTCTTGTAAACTCACGCTTGTGGCTTCCTTTATGGACTCAATCCATCTCGTATTGGGTCTTCCTCTTCCCCTGCTGCCTTCCACCTTGTCCACCATGACGGTCTTTCCCAGAGAATCCTGTCTTCTCATGAGGTGACCCCAAAGTTGGACCACCTCAGCTTCGACGCTTTCGCCTCCAGAGAGAGTTCAGGCTTTGGTCATGTCCATTCAGTTTCATGTTTCTTGGCCAGCCACCTTCTCAACTCCAGAAATTCTAAGCCCCCCTGTGGTCAACCCTCGTTTCTAATGCGCCAGTCTTTTTAGGCCGTTTTCGACCCTGTCTCTCATAGGACCTTAGCTCCTAAGATCTTTTGTCATCAGGCTGCAGCGGCTACTCCTCTCTTTCATCATCATGGGGGCGGGGGTGTCTCCCAATGCCTTCATCCTTACAGGTTCTCTGGGGGGGGTCATGGCAGTGGAGCCCCTAATGCTGTGGGGGCTGTCCTTCAGAGGGTACCTGAGGTAGCAAGAAACGTTTCCTCACCCATCCCCAAAAGGATTCATGTTTCTTGATATGGTGTGGTACACTAAAAATGTTGGGGATCTATGTTTTAGTTGGGGGGAAAATATGTCTCTAAACACCCTTGGGTTCAAACCAACAGTTCAGAGTCACAAGTTTGTCAAAGCAAACTCACTCTGTGGTTGTTTTGCTGTGTCTTACTTGTTCTGTTTTATGTTCAAATGGATCCTGAAGCCACCCACTGGGTACTCGCAGGAGAATGCTGCTGTAAAAAGTTTGAGGAGCAGAGCTGGGGTCCCCCATTCAGATGCCCTGGAGGTTTTGCTACCCTGCTGGCTAGGTTGGGGGGGGCATGAGAGAGCGATGGGGAGGAAGGCTTGGCTCGGAAGCCGGCACAGTCATCTTGGCACATTTCCAGGCCAGCTTGGTCTGTATTTTCTTCTGCTTGGGGAAGGAGCAGGACATAGCCCATGCCCTCCTAGCAAAAAAACCCAACCCAGCAGCAAATGCTGGAAGCCTTTGACACCAGCGGGGGGATTAAACATGCTCTGCTCTCATTACAGCATAGCTCCAGAATGTTGCCCACCTTGGCATCTGTCTTCCCACCCGTGGGGGGGGGGGGGAATCAAACATGCTCTGCTCCCATTACAGCATAGCTCCAGAACGTTGCCCACCTTGGCATCGGTCTCCCTACCCCTGTGCAATGGCACACACACACACACACACACACAGCAGATTCTAGATGTAGTAAATCAGGGAATGGCAACGTCTAGATCAGAGAATCCTAGAAAAGTGAAGTTGGAAAGGGGCCTATAAGGCCATCCAGTCCAACCCCCTGCTGAAGCCGGGAATGCAAGTCAACGCAGATCTGGCAACGGTCTCCAGCGTGCCATTGTCGTACTGCTCTAACAGTTAAGACTTTTCCCCCGATATATTCAGCCAAAATCTGGATTCTTGTAGCCTGAGCCCATTATGATGTGCCACGCACTCTGAGATGATGGAGAACAGATCCTGCCCCTCCTCTGGAGAATTACCTTTCAAGGATTCGAAAAGTGTCATCGTATAACCCCAGTCTTCTTTTTTTTTCAAGGCTAAACCTGCCCAGTTCTTTCCGTCTTTCCTCCTAGGGCTTGGTTTCCAGTCCCCCTGATCATGCTGGTTGTCCTCTTCTGAACTTGGTTCCAATTAAAGCATCCTTCGTAAGGTGTCCGGTGTCAACGAATGCCATCCATGGAGACGTCCTGTCTTACCTGCTGCAGAGTCACACCACCGATTTGCTCAGACCCAACCTTGTTTTGTGTTTGCTTCGGTGTAGGATGGGACTTCACGGAAGCAAAAGCAAGCCTCTCTGGAGGGAGAAGAACAATTCCATTTATAGGCTGAAACGAAGAAAGAAACCTCCTCCACCTCCACCAGAGGTAAGGATTTGTCTTTGTCCCCAGGAAGGCTGGTACCGGGGAACCGCCTGTTGTTGATGATAGGGACTCTTATTCCCATGAGCCTGTGTCAGTCTCGTCAGTGCTGAGGGATGATGGGGTAGCCAGCCCTCAAGGTCTGGACGGCCACATGCCCTCGAGCCTTAGCACTAGTTTTGTACAGCTAGGCTGAGCATTTGCTGGAGTCTCAGAGGACTGGAATTCTGCGTTCAGATAAGCTGGTTTCTGCAACCTGATTCAGAAATGTTTCAGAGAAGCACTGCTTTTAACTGAGGATTTCTCCAAATGGAGGAAAATTTCCACTCCCCACTCACGGTCGTGAAGGAGAGCAAGGTTTACTGGGATCAACGTCCAAACATTCCTTTAAACATCCAGTTATTTTCTCTGTAGGAAAACAACTTTTTTAAAAAAGCAAAACTGTTTGTTTGTTTCTTTTAATCTTCTCAGAAACTTTAAGATATCCACTTGCTTGCTTCTGTTCGGGAAATCTGATTTTCTTGGTCCGGTGTTGGTTCAGAACTTCCAGTGTGGAAGCTTTGAGAAGAGATGTGAACTTCAGCGGGAAGTGCATTAGCGCTAAACGGTGCCCTGCTTCCTCTGGGACAAACCATGCTTAAAAATAAATCGTGTCGCCTGGTAGGACCAAAACAGAATGAAAGACACAGAAGAGGTCACTGTACTGAGCAAGAGATGGTTGAGGAACATTGTGTGGGTGTAATGCAGTGGCGTAATGGAGCCAGGATTGACAATGCCCATCCTCTGGGACTGCAGACATCATCTGCCACCCAACTCAGAATTCCTCGCTCTCTCTCAGCTTAGTTGCAAACATTAGAGAACCTGGGGAGGAAACAGACTTTTCTCAGCAATAATATCTTGCTGTGAACTATGAATTACAGTAGGAACCCCCTTATTGGTGGGATTAGTGTCCTCTAATCCACAGTCTGAATATATTAAAAACATTAAAGGAAAAATGACCCCCAAACATACAGTGGTGCCTTGCTTGACGACATTAATTAGTTCCAGCGAAATCGCTGTAGAGCGAAAACGTCGTCAAATGAAATAAAAAAACCCATTGAAACACATTAAAAACTGGTTAATGCATTCCAATGGGTGAAATACCTAATCATCCAGCGAAGATCCTCCATACGGCGGCCATTTTCGGGTGCCTGTCTTGTGAAAAATGCCTCCTAAAAACAGCGGGGAGCCATTTTGAGCACCCTGTGGCCATTTTGAAAACCCGACGATCAGCTGTTTTGATTGTCCGTAATGCGAAGAATCAGTTCCCGAAGCAGGGAACCGATCGTCGCAAATTGTGATCGCAAAAACATCGTCGTGAAGCAGATTCGTCGTTATACGGGGTAATCGTTAAGCGGGGCACGACTGTATGTTTAATGATGTCTTTACCAGAATTGGCTATGAAAATGAGCCAGAGATCATGTTATGTATAGTGTTCGCTATTAAAGTAGTGTTCTGCATTTTTTCAGCATCGGTAGTTAGTGGCTAGGAAACTATCACCTGTGGATACTGGAGTCCTCCTGTAGTTTGCTTTCTTTGGAATTATAAATTCCAAAGAAACTTGGAATTACTCTTTGGAATTATAAATTCTAGATGCCCCTAAGCTATGGGATTCTTCCCCAGCCTCTAGGATTCTGGAGGTGGTGTGTCACTCTGACACAGAGGCTGTTATCTATTCTTTATTTTATTTATACCCCCCTGTCTCCTGATACAGAAATTCATGCGGTTTACAAAAGGGCTAAAAAACAGATACGGTTAATGATTTTAAAAAGTATCAAATAAAGGATCAGTTAAAGTTAAACCAGGGACGTGGTGGCGCTGCGGGTTAAACCGCAGAAGCCTCTGTGCTGCAAGGTCAGAAGACCCACAATCGTAAGCTTGAATCCACGCGATGGAGGGAGCTCCCGTCGCTTGTCCCAGCTCCCGCCAACCGAGCCATTCGAAAGCATGTAAAATGCAAGTAGATATATAGGTACCACCTTGGTGGGAAGGTCATGGCATTCCGTGTCTAGTTGCGCTGGCCATGTGACCACGGAAATGGTCTACAGACAAACGCTGGCTCTACGGCTTGGAAACGGTGATGAGCGCCGTGCCCTAGAGTCGGACACGACTGGACTAAAAAATGTCAAGGAGAACCTTTACTTTTACCTAAAAGTTAAACAACAGGGGAACCTTTACCTTTACCTTAAAGTTGAACCACGGACTTACTGAAAACATTTGAAAGCATGTTGCAAAAAACTGAAAAACAGAAAAGTGAAGCCCAGAAAGCATAACCTATTGAAAGCTACTTCTTAACTTTTCTATGATCTCCTTGATCTTAAATGTGTGATTAAGGCCCATTCACTTTACAAAAGACCAGCCTCTGATGGACAAGGAGTAGGGTCTTGATGGCATGGATTAAATTAGCCGCCTGCTTTGGAGAAGCCCGACTATGAGGAGGATCGTAAGGAACATCTCCACTTCAAATTTAACCTACACCTCATGGCCTATGGGTTATCCATTACAGACTCAAAGAACAGCCCAATCGGGATTTGAACACAGGCCCATCTAAATGAGCATTTTGCTTCCTAAATCCCTTTGGGAAAATTACAAACCAGGGCCAACACCTAGTAACTCTTCTGTAATGTGGTTTCACATCAGCCACATGCCACTACTTGAATAGAAGCTGGGCCTCTCGAGGGTTAAAGAGCCCCTTGTCTTGAACCCTGTGCCCAAGAGAAGTGGGAGGAACTGATTTCCTCCTTCCTAATCCCATGGATCTGAAAGCATTGGGTGTAATAAAAAAAGAAACAAGTAACTTTGGGGAACTACAACTCCCATAATACCTTAGCCAGCACTGTTAGGGGATTTTGGGAGTTGTAGTCTGAGGAACCTACTTGAAAAGAAAGGCAGGGTGTCCATGCCATGGTCTCTTGTTCTCCAGGTGTCATCACAACTCCCATAATACCTTAGCCAGCACTGCTAGGGGAATTTGGGAGCTGTAGTCTGAGGAACCTACTTGAAAAGATAGGCAAGGTGTCCATGCCTCTTGTTCTCCAGGTGTCATTGGACTGCAACTCCCATCCCGGCCGACTATTGGCTGGCTGGTCTGGGGCTGATGAGATCTGGAATCCAGCCTCATTTGCAAGACCCCCTGTTTCTAATTGCTAGTAGATAATAATAGGATTTTGTTAATCAGGGTTCCCCTGCTGCTACTGGGGAATACGCCAGTGGGCATGCTATAAATATTGTGCTCCGGCTAACGATCGGGACCAGCTAATTGTCTGAGTGTCAAATTAACTCCCAGTACAATATTTGGTGGAGGAATGAGCGACTGATGGATGTACCGGGGGGGGGGCGGGGAGACAGAAATCAGGGCAGCTATAAATCACAGAATGGTGAAGATGGAAGGGGCCTACAAGGCCATCCAGTCCAACCCCCTGCTTGATGCAGGGATACAAAGCAAAGCAAACTGCTTGATGCAGGGATACAAAGCAAAGCAAATTTGCCATGTGGTTGTCTACGTTTCTCTTGAATGCCTCCAACATTGGAGCGCTCACCACCTCTTGAGATCGTGGCCAACACTGGAGCGCTCACCACCTCTTGAGATCATGGGTTCCACTGTCCAACTGCTCTAACAGTTAAGAAGTTTTTCCTGACATTCAACCAAAGTCATGCTTGGCTTCTATCCTCTCTCTCTCTCTCTCTTTTCTTGCAAAGGGCAAACCAAGCAAATCCAGCACTTCTTTGGACCGGCTTTCAAGTGATGGTAAGAACAGATTAACTCACTTTCTGTATGTAGTTCTGTATTCTGCTCCATGACCCCCACCCACTGCCCCAAATGCTAGCTGTAGAATTATCGGCTCTCCGTTATAGACTCTGAGGGCAGGCCGCCAGGATTTGAACCCGGGACCGGGTCCCTTTTGGCTTGCAAAATGAGCTCCTTCCCCCTTCTGGCAGGGCACCTCCCATAAATCTAAATGGAAAAGTTGCCAGGCTGTTCTCCCGAAAACAGCAGTTGCTTTCCTGAGACGTATCTCCTTGCAATGGAAGGAGGAAGCTTCGCTCGTGGCTTTGTCTGCAAAGGCCAGACGGCGTGAGCTTTGGAAAGGTCGGTCTGAGGACCCTCTCTCTTTAGAAGCTCTCTCTCGCTCACCATGCATTCATTGACCTAAGGAGGGGAGACGCTCATGCCATAAAAGCATTTTTTCTTCTTCCAAGGCTGCCTTTTCAAAGGAATGTAATCGGGTAGCAACCTGGCTAGTAAACCTTTTATGGCCTTACCCCCTAAAAGGTTAAATCTCACTTGAGTGATTGGTTGGGAGGGTGTTGTTCTTGTGCTTATACACTTATCTCATCTCCCCTGCCTGTGCTCCGCATTTTTAACTATTTTACCATGATCATCCTTCTATTGGTTATTTCATTTTTAAAAGGTTATGCCCTTTGCTTGTGTCTGTGACTCTTGTCTTGGGTCGCTTGTGTACTTTGTGCTAGCCTGGTTTCTTTGCTGCCCGGAGTTAGATGCCACCCGAAAGATTCAAAGTATGTGGTACCGTCATTGGTGGCTTTTCTCAACAAATCCAAGCTCCTCTGGGTTTGCTTAAGAAGGAGAGGGAGTGGATGAGTCCCTCTGGAAATACCCATGATTTGTGATGTGAATCACTGGTGACCTCAACGTCACGGGGATGGTGCCTCTGCTACGGCTTTTAGTTTTCAAGGAAGCTCTACATGAGCTCTCCAAGGTGCTGAAGTGTCTCTACGAAAGAGGTTCAGAACCTTGGACAGCACAGGTGAAAGTCGGACTAATACCCAGAGCGGACGGATCGTCCCTGCCCCGTTGGAGCCACCTTCCACCAAGATGCTTCTAGATGAATGAATGATTTACTCGAGGGCTTCTCTTTTTTTGTGGAACAGAAAAGCACTATGTGATCGCACAATACGATTTCATCCCCATGAGCGACCGTGATCTGCCTTTGACTGTAGGAGAGAAGTTTGAAGTCCTCCACAGGTAAGTGACTTTGCTCTGCTTTTGGTGGCCTTCGGGCATGCTCATCCCTCCCTCGTGGTCAAAACAAGAAAACAGATGTCAAATCTGGATCTCAGATGAACAGATTCAGATCTGCCTGGCGTTTGCTCATAAGCAACCATCCGATCCCATTCTGCAAGGGTGATAAAAACCGGCTCATTTGTGTCTTTCCGTTGGGAGCAGAATAAAGACAGTGCAGTATAGCTTAGGCAGGCTCAGGATTCTTCTCAAGGTCTGGAATTCTGCACAGATTTCCATGATATTTTTCTTGCCATGAGCACAACATGAAGCCGATCTTACTGAACCATTGACTTTTCCCATGACCTTCTGTACCTTGTTCTCCACTCCTGAAAGCAGGGTTTATTTTTTAGTTCTCCTGGTTGGTGTTGGTAGAAGATAGCTCAAAGGCCTCTGGTTATGTGGAGTTGACGTCCTTGAGAGTGCCATGCTCTGAAACATTTGATTTATCCCCAGAGATGGGCACGAATCAGCACAATAGCCGTTCACAGTGGTTTGTGAGCAGCCAGAACCATGAACTTTCTGGACTTTTAAAAAATGCACCAATTCATTTTTTAAAAAAAAATGTTGATGCCTGGGAGGAGGGGAAGTTAACCACCCCCCACTCCTTCTGCCCCCCACCGGCTCCTGTTGCCTTGTGCTAATTCCTCCACCACCACCATCGCCATCTTCAGCTTCTCTGAAGATGAACAGCATCCTCAGCTTCTCTTCTGCTATCTGGGGGATCAGCAGGAAGGGGATGCAGGGGCAGACTGTCAAGGCGGCGTTAGGGGGGGAGAAAACGGGTCAAACTGAACCACCGGACCCAAAAATCACTGTAAAAGTTCATTGGCTCGGTTCATTTTGGTTCTTTGCTTTTGATGAACCTGAATTCACCGAACTAACAAAACCAGCAATTTTTGACGAACGCCCTGGTTTGGGGTTTTTGTGTGGTTGCTGTTGGTTGTTGGTTGTTGTTGTTGTTGTCGTCGTCGTCGTCATCGTCGTCGTCGTCGTCGTCATCGTCGTTGTTCACGCCCCTCTCTGTTTCTCACTGAAAGCAAAACTTGAAAAGCTCTGGAAGAGAAATTCCTTCAAAGGAGAGGAGTTCTTCACTTGTAGGAAAAGAATGCTTAAGGACGTCCCGCGGAGAAGCCGTGTTCTTTAAAAGAAAGATGTTGCTTTTTCCAAGGGATGTTTGTACAAGAATCACAGTCATCTCCGGGCTTCCTCGGGGATAACGGAGAGAAAGGGGGCTGGATCTTTGGTAACACAGCCATCAGTCGCTGGTGCTTTGTGCAACCCTTGTGTCTTCTTCATCTGTCCGTTTTTACGTTGCTTTCTTCACAGTGCCGGAGATTGGTGGCTAGCCAAATCACTTACGACGGGGGACAAAGGCTACATCCCCAGTAATTTTGTGGTTCGTGCCAACAGTCTGGAAGAAGAAAAGTAAGTCTGAGAAGAACGCCCAGGGAACTCTTTGGGGTTCACTGACGGAGGTTGGATAGTCCCCACTGGTATTTTTAGGTGTGTTTATGGATAACTCAAGGGATGTGGTGGCGCTGCGGATAAAACAGCAGAAGCCTCTGTGCTGCAAGGTCGGAAGACCCGCCATCGTAAGATCGAATCCACACGACGGAGGGAGCTCCCGTCGCTTGTCCCAGCCTCCTGACAACCTAGCAGTTCGAAAGCTTGTAAAGATGCGAGTAGATAAATAGGTACCACCTCGGTGGGAAGGTAACGGCGTTCCATGTCTAAGTTGCGCTGGCCACGTGACCACAGAAACGGTCTTCGGACAAACGCTGGCTCTACATCTTGGAGACGGGGATGAGCACCGCGCCCTAGAGTCGGACACGACTGGACTCAATGTCAATTTTTATGGATCACTCAGTGGTTGGTTCCAGAGTTCGATTCCCCACTGTGCATCCTGAAAGAGCTCGCCTCTGTAGCCTTCGGCAAGCTACACTGTTCCAGGGATTCCCCCGAAGAAGGGAAACCGCTTCTTTGTATTCTCTACATCAGTGGTCCCCAACCCTGGGCCTCCAGATGTTCTTGGACTTCAACTCCCAGAAACCCTGGCCAGCAGAGATTATGGTGAAGGCTTCTGGGAGTTGTAGTCCAAAAACCTCTGGAGGCCCAAGGTTGGGGACCACTGCTCTACGTTACTGGTTCCCAACCTTGGGTCACCCGGGTGTTCTTGGACTACAACTCCCAGAAATCCTGGCCAGCGCAGCTAATGGTGAAGGCTTCTGGGAGTTTTCATCCAAGAACATTTGGGGACAGAAAAGGAAAGCGGGCCACTGTTTAAAGGAAGCTGAACATGAAGGCTGGGTCGGTGTTCTGTTCTTTACATACAGCTACTCACTGAGCATGCCGTTTTGGGGTGCGTGAGATTTATTAATTAAAATAGCAGTTGTAGAAGAGGTCTGTGCCAGCATTAGAGATGAAAACAAAATAAAAAGGAGTAAAAAATAAAATAAAAGAGGGAGAAAAAGTGGTGGCACTTTAAAGGCTAATCTTTCTATGTTTTTAATGTGAGCTTTCGTAGACAATTCCATTGCATGTGGGCTTGTCTGCAAAAGTTCACATTAAAAAAAATGTAAAAGTACGCCTTTAAAGTGCCACCACTTTTTGTCTTTTTTTGGGGCTTTTTTTTTACTCTTTATTTTTAAATAATTACAATAGGGAAACCTTTGTCTTGCATAAGGGCCAGTCAGAGATGGCGTATGTGGAGCTGCGCATGCACGCACACACACACACACAAAAATTTGCGCTGAACTCTCGGGGAGAGGAACAACACACCCACACAAACTTCACAGTGTAGTATTTGCTTCAGTCTAATTCCCTTGCCGGAGAAAGGAGATTGGCAAGGGCTAAAGAAAAACCTTTCTCCACAGCTAGGATGCTAATTGAATTCCTGTCTCATTTGTGCAGGTTTTTGAGTCTGTTTTTCTTTTCTTTTTCCCCCCCGGAATGGCTGGTGGTAGACACCCTCCTTTTACTGCCCAACTACGGAAGCAGAAAATGACACACTTTTTTGCACATTTATTTTTTTTCACCGAGGGGCCATGAAATGGGCTTGGAGACGATAAAGTAAGGTCATCAGGGTGTGTTTTGTTATGGGTGCTTTGTTGTGATAAATACATTACACCAGAACATAGACAGAATTCTAGCTCCTGTCCTCTGAAGATGACGGCCACAGAGACTGGTGAAATGTTAGGAAGAAAAACCTACAGAACACGTCCAAACACCCCGAAAAACCCACAACAACCATAAGGTCCCCAACCTTGGGTCTCCAGATGTTCTTGGACTACAAATCCCAGAAGCCTTTACCACCACCTTTTTTGGCCAGGATTTCTGGGAGTTGAAGTCCAAGAACATCTGGAGGCCCAAGGTTGGGGACCACATTTCCTTGAAGGTGAAGTGAGGGTTACAGTTTTCTGCAGGAAGAACGCCTAAAGGGAGGCTCCCAAACCTTTTGAGTTTTCTAGATCTTTGTTTCTCAGCAGTGATCAGCCCCTCAATAAATTTCTCTCTCTCTCTCTCTCTCTCTCTCTCTCTCTCTCTCAGGTGGTTTTTCAAAGATCTCAGCAGAAAAGAAGCTGAACGGCTGTTATTAGCTCCAGGCAACATACTGGGTTCATTTCTGATTCGGGAAAGTGAAACAACTCCAGGTAAGAGGCTGGGAAGATATATTTTTGCCTATAAAGCTAGAAAGGTTTGATGGTATTTCCTTTCCCCCCCACCACCACATTTAACCATCTGTGAGCCAATACATATTGCATGAGATGGGAAGCGACGGCAGCCTCTGAATCAGGAGACTTCTCAAGTGATGAAATAATGTCTCTCCACCTGACATATTCTCCATAACTGGTGTGTTTCAACATGCAAATCAAATCTGGTTGTTTCTACCCGATAATCATCACAGGAAAGCAGGTGAATTTTGCAAAGTTGCAAAAACGAAGCAAGACATGGAAGGATAATCACACCTCTTTTACTGTTTAAGCCAGCTTCACTCTCGATCGCAGAAGCTGCCTGTCTCGTGTGCTTTGTTCCTGTGCTATAATAAGACGAACAGCAGAGCTTTGCAAAGTTGCTCTTGGGGGGCTACAGAGATGCAGTCCATCAGGTAGCCTTTGAAAACGGGGTTTCCGTTACCTCGGTGTGTAGGAGGGCATAACCAGAAATGACTCTAGGCCCCTTGCAGGTGTAACTGATGGAAAGATTTATTTCAATCCCAGCAGAGAAACAGGAAATAAGATTTGTGAAATGAAGGCATGATGGAAAAGAAAGGAAAGGGAAATCAATGAATTTCTAACATAATACAATGCAATAAGGAAATGAAAAAGGTAAAGCAGAACAACCTGTATTAAAGTCTCAGATTAAATTACCGTTATGCAAAAACAGCCACAGTTAGCCCTTTATAAAAGACAATGTTTGCCCCCTAATCTTTCACCAGTCCTCTAGTTGAAGCTCCCTATGTTCTGGCTGTTTGGCCTGAAGACTGAGAAAGAAAGACGTATAGCTTACCTATCCCAAGGAACAATTCCTGAAGATTCGGGGACACATGCAGGAAGATTGATCCATTGATCATTGGGTGTGTGTGTGTGCATGCAAAAATCTTCCAGGAGGATTATTGATCCATTGATCTGTGTATGTGTGTAAAAAAAACTCCCAGGAGGACTAGTCTGCCCCACTGTAAAAACTGAAGCTTCTCTCAAAATCAAGGCAAGCTATGGCCTAAAGGCCGCAGAGGAGTCAACATCTGCAAAAATAATAATTACATGAGGAAAAGTGAACTGAGAAGCATCTGCACCTGAGGATGAAAGAATGTGATGCTGATGTCCCAAGCAACAATCGTTTCTTCCTGCACTGATGCCCTTAATTCTCCTGCCTTCTGGCTGGCTTCTTTTCCTTCTCCCCTAAAATTCAGTTCTGTGTTGGTAGATGGCAAACCCGGGAGCAAAAGTGCAATGCACCACTTTTCTCTATTCCCAGAAAGTAAAATCATCCCTTTGTCCTGTAGCACCATGTGATCATCGCGTCTTGTCAAGGTATGCTCTGGGCTTGGTATCTGACCTTGTAGCCTGTCCGTACAGTTCCACTGTCTTCCAGCTTGGCTAGAGCCTTGTGGCCGAGCTGTGATATGTATCAGTCTTTCTTGCTTATTACATCATGTCTGCACCGAACCATAATCTTGCTCTTGAATTTAACTAGTGGAGTTGGGGGCTCCAGGTAAAATACCACAAACACACGATGCAGTTCTGGAAATCTGGAATCTTCCAGACCTGTTAAGGCCAGGCAAAAGGAAACTGTGTTGTTGTTGTTGTTGTTGTTGTTGTTGTTGTCGTCGTCGTCGTCGTCGTCGTTGTCGTCGTTGTAAACATTCGTACACACAGGTCATTGGGGAAACAGGTCTCAGACGCTGTTGAGTTGTTTATTTGGCAGCCACCGTCCATGTACATGACTGACTTAATAGGGCCTCCTTTTTCTTGAAAGTACTGTAGGACCCCCTTCTGCAGGATTGGTATCCACTGATTTGCTTATCCATGCTCTGAAAATATTAAAAGAAAAAAAATTCTAGAAATATATATTTTTAAAGTTGAAGTTACCAGAACTGGCCACTAGAGAGAGCCAAAGACCATGCTATGTTTAGCATTCACTATTAAACAGTGTTTGCTATAATCCACTGTTTTTTCAGCATGGAGGGGGGGGCAGAGTTTGAACTGATCCCCCGTGGATACGAGGGTCCTATTGTATATGAACAAATAGGTATATATTTGAGCCTCTTGGGGGGGGGGAATGAGTCAGGG